ATTGCCTTATCACAGTCAGAGGCGGCCATAGCTTTTGCAGCCTTTACCTCTTTGTTTCTCCGATCAAGCGGCTTGCGAAGGCCGTTCACTCGGAGCAGGGCCTAAGTAAAGAGAAAACATGCGTCAGTTTCCAAACAAAAAGATAACAGGCGTCCTGGAATTCAAATACTCAAAAAATGCTAAGTATACCTCAGCAAGGACCCCTGCAATCCCATCAAGGTCAAGGGTGCCGACACCCCTGACCGCCTTCCTTTCAGATGGAGGAACTGCTTTGATCATGGACTTGGCTACCTCTACCAAGTCAGGCTCCTGAGGGCCGGCTGCATCAAGCGTAAAAAAGCAAGTTAGACCTAGTCAAGTAGGAAGCAAGTGTAAAAGTTTTTACAAGTAATTGTCCATACTTCTAGGCGGCCCCGCCGGAGTTTTAGAAGAAGTGGCCGGCTGCTTCTCAGCCGCCACTGTTTTCCTGGAAGACCCAGGAGAGCTTGCAACAGTCGTCCTCCGGGCCTTGGGGTCCGGCTGTTGCGAGGAAGAAGCTCTTGGAGTGCCCGACTGAAAAAAAAAAAAAAAAAAAGAGTTAGTATATGCATAAGACAACAACTCCTAAAAGAGGAAGAGTTTCGAAGCCCACCAAGGGTGCCCCCTTGTTGGGGGAGTCGGTACAAGACTGTTGCATGAGAGAGGCCCGCAACATGGCCGCCGCAGTCTTGGATGCTGTTATTTTACTCATGGCGTCAGCTGCAAAAAATAAACAGCAAAGTTAGTAAAAAACCCAAGTAAACAAGGCGTGAAAAAACAGAGTATTTGTCAGGCCGGCTACCTCTAGAGCACCGACAGCTGAGGCCACAGGCGGCCAAAAAGTACTCGTCATAGAGCCACTTAAAGCTCGGGACGCAGTTTAGGGGTACTTGCTCTCGTACCCCTGAAGTAGAGTTCACCCTAGTCTCTACTTTGAAGAGTCCTTTGTCTAGGATCTCTTTTTTATCCTTTGGGGGAACAGACGACATGCTGCGGCCGCCTGCGAGAAGAGGCGGATCCCTATTCCACTTGTTAAAGCATTTGTTCAGCTCCGTGTCTGAACCCTCGATGATAAGGAAGGTGTTCCGCCAATCCTTCCATTTGTTCGCCTTACCTTTCGTCATGAGGTAGCCCCTATGGCTTGTTAATTGATACCAGCCGGTACCGCCCGACTTAGGGGTCCGGCTGAGATAGTTCATGTGGGCGAAAGCCTCAAAGCTTGGCTCCACCCCGTACATTTCGCACCCGGACACATAGCCGAGTACGTTTACCCAAGAGTTGGGGGCTAACTGCCATAACCCCAAATCATACCCATCTAAAATCCGCTGAAACAGCCGGATGTAATGGGAAGCGCAGTCCAGCTTTGATGGCCGCCACATAGCAGCCAAAGCAGCCGTCATCATAGCTGGTACCAGCCGGCCAGACGACAGTGTCTTCTGGATCCGGCACGAACAATAAAAATCCGGGGCCCATTCTGTGGTTAGCTATAAAGCTCTCCACTTTGTCTTGCATGGCTGCGATCCGGCCCCGGGGTACCGTGCAGTAGTAGGGGGTGTTTTCCTCTCTGTAAGAGGCGGACGGCTCCGCCCAATTGCCCCCCTTCTCAACTGCATGAGAAAGCATCGCCTCTTGTAGGCGGCTGTTTCTTTCTTCTTAGCCTGGAGAAGCGTGGCCAGAAGAGCTGGACTCGGACTCGTCCTCTGACGAGTCCGAAGAGGACGACTCCTCCCCTCTCCCAGAGGGGCCCGCCTCCTCTCCCTTAGAAGGAGCAGGAGAAAAGTTAGACATATCAACGGTGAAATGGGAAGGGACCACCTTGACCCCTCCCTCAGAACTGTCGGCTTGGCAGCCGCCTTGTTTCACTTCTACATCTGGCGCCTGGTCAGATGTTTCACTAATGGGCACCCTTTGGGAGGAGCCGTCCGAGTTTGAGATCCTAGCAGTCTTTTTTGTTCTGGCCATCACGTTCTGCATAGACACAGATACAGTCGGACTTTGTATAAAGGCAAAGATGGGTCCAGAAAAGGGCAGGCGGCACTCCTAGTCCTAGATTCAGCCGTCCCCGGTGACCGGCTGATCACTAACTTAGGTCGTGTCGTGTGCTTCCATGGTGCCATTTCAAAAAATAATAATAAGAAAAAAATTAAGAATAAGAGAACCGACGGTTACCTGAACGAGTGACGACTGATGAAATTCTGAAATCCTTTGCAAACGGCTTGTCAGAGCAGGCGGTAGGCAACAAAAGTCCAAAGTGTCAGAGCAAGTTCAGGGGTCCGAATGTTCTCTCGCAAAGTTCTCAAATGTGAAAATGACCGAAGTCAGCACTTCCTTATATAGGCAAAGTGAGAAGGCGAAGGGTCGCTTCCAAATTCAAAATTTGGGCGGGAAAATCTCTCGGCCATTTGCAAGGTGACACCTGTAGCAGGCCGTCGCCTGTCACCATGCGACACCTGTCACAGGTGACACGTGACCAGTCACGTGCCACCTGTGAGGGGCAAATGATTAGGGGACTTTTATCCACCAATCACCGTCTGACAAGTGGACCAACCAGGTTCCGCCACGTGTCCTTCACGTAGGCCAATAGGAGCCTGCCACGTGTCAATCACAGATACGTCCTCTACGGACCAATTGAGACACGCCACGTGTCCACCCATGCCAAATGGGAAAACCGGCCAACAAGGCCCAATCCTGTTTAGAGGCCCAGTCAGCCCTAGGTTTACCCTAAACCTAGAGAGTGGCACGCTTCCCGAGGTTATAAATACCCCTCTTAATCCTCATTAAGAGGGAGAGGACTCGAAAACAACACACGGATTACACATTAAACACTCTCACCTAGAGAGACTAAATCACTTTAATTTCCGCATTTATTACTCCTTAATCAGGTACTAACTTGACCGTTGGAGGCGGAGCTCCTACCACAAGGAGTCTTCGTTGTTTTGCAGGTACAGGCGTCCGGTTCCAGTCTCGGTGTTGTAACTCTCCCGCAGGACACCAGAAAACCCCGAAACAATTGGTAAGGCGTTTATTCGTCCAAGTAAACCTAGGATCGGAAAAAGGAACATCTAAAAGTTGATTACCCAACTTCCATTTTGTGAAAACCTCGCTACCTCTAATGTGTATGGTCCCTCCCAACTTATCCTCAAGTAGTTCCAACTGATTGAAGGTTATGATGCTATATAATTATAATGCCCCATTTAATTATGAGGTATTGTTATCACATACATCATTTTTTTTTTTAAACCACTATCACATACATCATTTCATCAATATTGAATTAATGAGTTGTTTTAAATAAATTATAAAAAAAAAAAAAAAAAAAAAAAAAAAAAACCAACAAAAAAAGTATTACTATACATTATATTAAAAAAGGTGACAACTTTTTATCGAGGATCTTAAATTAAAACAAATCGAGTATATATGACGTCTATATGAATATCATTAATAACCGTGAACAAGACTAGTTTATTTGATATCATTCAAAACAATTCAATCCAGGCTACTATTTCTAGTAGGATCTAAGGGTTTGTTCTGTTCAGCTTAATTTCAGTTCACTTCAATTCAGTTCCTAATTTCCTTCCCTTATAAACAATTCATTTCAGCTCTATCTATTCAGTTCAGTTCAATTCAGCTCCAATCAGTTCAGTTTATTTCAGTTGTTTTCAGTAAATCGGAATAGGCCCTAAGTTAGTATATTCTTTTCATCTTTTGAATCATGTAAAGAGCTAGTTACTTTTACTTTGACCTAATTAAAACAGCCAGTAATTAGCATTTTAGCAAAGCATCACGTACTTTTGATAACGATATATCATTTTTAAAATAAAATTAAGGCCCATAGAACAAGCAAACATTAAAAAAAGCCTTTAATCTTGTGGCTTAGATTAAGAATGACGAAGATACTACTATTTAATTATGAATGATAATTCATCATTATCAAGCTGGATTGACACTTTCCTCATTGGTAACGATGTGGTCCACTATAAGCTCACTAATCAAGCCATATATTCCTAATTTAGCCATATTAGAATATTAATATGGTCTAAACACCTAAGCTCCTACGTTTAGGCATATTAATTAACCCCAAAATGAACCCTAATTAGAATTACTTCTATATATATATTTAGTGTTCAAGTATTGTATTTTTTTTTTTTTTTTGAAGGAAGTATTGTATTTGTCTTTTGTAATAAAACTCGATTCATGTTGAGATTGTTGAGCATTAAATATTCTCTTTATAATATAAAATCAAATTTAATATTATGAAAAAAAAAAAAAAAAAGTTAAAGGGTAATGACCTATCAGCCCTTTAGGTATATGTTTGAGAGTTTATGACAAAAATATGAGTTGATCGAAGTTAGTAAGCTAGTTTTTCATAATCTGTTCTTTTAAAGTTTTAATCCTTTTATATGCAGCTTTGCTTTTAATATTTTTCATTTTTGTAATTAAATTTGCGCATCACGTTATGAGTGCTTCTTTATATAGTATGAATTGCAAAGATATTAATTACTCTCTTTATATTTATTTTAGTGTTACACTTAACGTGCGCCACATAATTTTAGATAATTTAATTGACTTTAATAAGTATAATTAGTTGCAACTTTTTATTACATTGCATATTTGATCAGCAATCGTCTTAATAAAAATACCGTTAACTCCTACAACAGTTATAAGATAAGTGACATACATAATATCTTAACGAATCAACAACATTAGTTGTGAGATTTTTAACGACCTTTTTTTACTTTTGTTTTATTAAAACCAATAATGATGTACATTATTATACATAATGTACATCATTCTTAGAGTGTAAATCATGATTACATACAGCCAATGATGTACATCATTCTTAGAGTGTAAATCATAATTACAGTCAATAAACATTATATATATTGACTCATTATGTATAATTACAGTCAATTAACAACTTAAATCACATATCATACTTCTGATAATAAAATACTCCGATATAAGACTCTTTATCTTAGCTGTAAGATAACAACTTTTACAAGTAGCAACCAAGATGTAGACTTATATAAGTCAACATCTTAAGTACCATTCAATCCAAACAACATAAAACCCTTTTTAAAAACTCTCAAGTTCTTCTCCTTCTCCTTCTCACTTCCATTTTTCCAAACTCCAAATTATTTTTTGCTCCCTTTTCTCCACCCCACGTGTGCTCTCAACCACTCTTTCTCATGAGCACCCAAGCACCACCCTCACCACCCCAAGGGCTAACCCAAGAAGAATACACCACCCTACAACTCCTCATCCAAACCTACCACACCTTCCACCCTACACCACCCAACACCACCACCTCCCTCATCACTCAACGCATCGACGCCCCCGCCGACATTATCTGGCCCTATGTCCGTCATTTCGACAACCCCGAACGCTACAAACACTTCATCCAAAGCTGCCGTTTGACCTCAGGTGATGGCTCCTCCGTTGGTAGTGTACGTGAAGTTAACGTAGTATCCGGTCTTCCTGCTTCCACCAGCACCGAACGCCTCGAGCTTCTTGATGATCAACACCGCGTGCTTAGCTTTCGTGTCGTAGGTGGACAACACCGCCTTCGTAACTACAAATCTGTTACCTCCGTGAATGAGTTTGTTGAGGATGATAATAAAAAAGTTTATACCATTGTTTTGGAATCGTATATTGTTGATATTCCAGAAGGTAATACTGCTGAAGATACCAAGATGTTTGTTGATACTGTTGTTAAGCTTAATCTTCAAAAACTTGGGGTTATTGCTATGTCTGATTTGCAAGGTAATAATCATGAATAATTATTTGTGTTGTTTTTTTTTTAAAGGAAAAAAAATTAAATTTTATTGGAATGAATGGATAGTTTCTCAAAAATTGAGGCTACCCTCTTCATAATTAATTATTAATATTAATATAATTATTATTGTTATAATTAGTTTTTATTCATGTATTTGATTTAGCATGGATTTGGAGAGTATCCTGGTCAATGATCGATTAGTTTCTTTTTTTTAATTCTTGTTGAAAAGAAAAGTACTTAGTTGTTATTAGTTGGAGTTATTTCTTGTACTTTTGCATTGACATATTCTACGATTTTTTTATGGTTAGATTACTTGGATACTACCATCGTTAGTTGATTCAACAACGGCCTGAGCTTCCTTAAATGCAAGCTTTCTATTAAGTTAGCTTAAACTTGTATATGTATGTTTATAGTCTTTATACTATTCACATATTTTATATTTTTATTAATGTTGGTGATTTCCACATAAGAGAAACCGTCATTTGGGATTTCTAGCGGTTGGTTTCATATCTTAACGTTTTATAATATTACATACTCCGTGATAATTACATATGATTACAATGTGAAATTCAAAGTAAGTAGGTGAAATATATATATATATATATATATATATATATATATATATATATATATATATATATATATATATATATATATATATATATATATATATATATATATAGATGGATTACTCCTCTTATATGCCTAAAATAAAGACTAATACAATTTAATAACTTGTAAATGTCACTCTTTAATTTTCTATTTTTTATATCGTTGGGAATAAGTGTCAATTTCTAAATTTTTCAATGCCTATTGCTAACTTGGTGAGTTGGTAAGTACCAATACCACGACTTCTTGGGTCTAATTTTGGGTCTAAATTCTCGTTTTCTCCTAGATTTATGATAGTGCATAGTAAACATATTATTTGCCTTTAATTTTTTATAAACTTATTACTATTGAAGGGATAGATACAAGTGACATGTGAGGTTCATTGTGAACTTTACCCACTGCAGATACATCTGTCTTGTTTAATGAGGTTGTGAGCCCAACATAATATATACTGATATACGTGTCTTACACTGGAAATCGAATGAATCTAAACTTAGATACATCATACAATCATAATTTTCTTAATTCTATTAGCAAGATTTAGAGGGTTTTTTTTTTTTTGGAAAGAGGGGGGGGGGGGGGGGAGGGGGGTGGTTTTGGATTGGGAATTTGGACAACTTTGAGAATATTGTTATTTTGAGAGTTAGAAATTAGTCATGTTTCATAATCATGGTAAATGGAAGTATGACATTTTCAGATACATTTCTATATTTTTGTTCAATTATTATTGTTTTTGTAGTCTTCTTTTATTAAAAAAATGAACAAATTTTGTACTGACAGATCTTCGTTATGAAGCAAAAACACAATCATATTTATCGGTAAACGCAATGTGTTCGCACTGGTCCGAATATTGGTGGTTAGATACTCGGATTGGTCATACACTCATACACAAACTTGGAGAATAATTGCAGATTTTGCAGGTTAATTGCAAAATTTGATGCTCTATATTTTAGAGTTTGTACATTTATGTCTCTTATTACTACAATATTTTTTGGTCTCCAAAAATGTGACCAATCAAATTATAATTCAATATTCCGAAAACAATTAAGCAATAAAGGACAAAATACAAATTGATTAATTGTGAACATAAATTCACGTGATTAAGAACCCCCTAGAGATGTGAAATAAGCAACACCTTGTAAAGTTGTAAGTAGAGTTGCTGATGACTTACTAATTACTATAAATGTTTGTGTACTTTTGAATGAAATATAGTCTAAAAAATATTGTTAATTTGATAAATAGTACATAGACATGATTAATTAATTGTTGATTTTATTTTTCAGGTTTTACGTGATTCTGTAATCGATCTATGTTGATATCTGGTGGTCCATATAGACATATATTGTAATATTTAACCTAAACCCAAATTAACTGCTTTGAAAAATGAAAAATACTAAACTCCAATCAAACTGACCAAAGGACTACTATTATGACTAAAGTGGATTGTTTCTCAAGAATATTATTCATTTGAATATAATCTCCATCTTAAATTGTTTATATAGATAGAATCAGAATCGAACAAAATAAGTCATCAGTCACATATCATGCTTAATTAGTTTCAATTTGTTATGCACTGAACTATCTTACTTGTTTGTCTCCTAGGGGATTAATATATGTATTACGTGTATTTGAATATGTGCCTATAACATATTTATTACATGTATGTGAATATGCGCCTATAACACCCTAAGCATTCCAGCATTCCACCATTCCTTATAACTCGACTTTGCAATATATTGTTTCATTTTTGTCATTAAAATTAACATAAAATCACTTATTTATTGTTAAATTAGTTGTCTACAAAGTTTTATCTATTTCATTCTTTGCTAATTGATAGATAAGCCCAGGCCATATGAGTCTTCATCTCTTCAGACTTAAAATTTTAAGATTTTAACCTTATATTTTATCCAAATTTATTTGTCAATTTTAATTCTTTGCATAAATGCACTATTATTTACTAATCTTGCTGAAAATGATGTTAAAACCTTCTTAAGTGATGTGCAGCATAGCTAAAAGACATTTATCCCCTCGCTTTTCTTATTGTTAATGCTTTAGATGGATAGAGTCTTGCGTGCATGTCATAACACTCATAAGACTCTATTTATCATTATAGTTCTATAAACAATTAATACGAAGTATATCATTAATAAACATAAGCAATATATAAAAGGGAATAAATGACTTAATTTGACTGAACAAACTTGTCAATGCACATCATTAACTTCAGTATATATAAATTGATAAGAGTAGTACGAAAATATATACTAAATTTAACCGAATGACATTATTTCACATAATAACATTTATAAAACCTATATTTGCATCGCTTATTTGGAAATGAAGAGCGTAATTGTATAATGTTTATAATCTAATGTGGTCCTGAAAACATAATATGTCATCCATGATATCGATGAAAAACAACGAGGCAAGAGTTGGCGACTTTTCTATATAAGCATTATTATGTTTTTTATATATTAATTTTTATCAATACTCAGAAATATATGTATGTAGTGTAGTTGATGTCACAGCTGCTTTGTATTATCAATAAAGTCCGACCAATTAGAATGTAGTTTCCTGCAGCTTCAAACTTCAGAAACAAACTTAGAGCATGTGAAGCAATTAATTTCATAGCTCAAAATTATACTAGTAATTTTCTAAGGAGATTTTCTGTACCTTTTTTTCTTTCTTTAATACTGGATCTATTTCTTATCCTTGGTTGGTTCAACCTTTGTATTTTATAGGGTAGCATGGGGCTAGGGCAATATATAATTCTTCATTTTTGTTTACTTTCTCGAATTGATTACATGTAAGTATGTAACATTAGTGATTTTATGTTATTTAAGCTAACTAATATATATATATATATGTAGTGTAACATTTTCGAGATAGAATCAATAATAGTTATGTATTCTATTTTGAAATATTCAATAGGATCGGATTTGTTATAATTTGCTCATATTTAATAATTTAAATTACCCGTGTGTTTGTTAGAATTGAATGAAGTCAATGAGTGGAAACAATTGTGAAAACTATTTAGTAATATATACACGATCTACATTAATATAGACAATGATTATTGTGTAACACATAAAGTATAAAGAACTATTGTAAAAACTATGTTAGTAATACTATGTTACTCATAATCCTTAAATATGAGAAGTGGAAACAATAATGGACACAATCAAGAATTAGAGTAGCTCACTGAACCTATACTATTTTTTATCTTTAATAATCACAAACAACGTTTTGAGTTTTTTAATCAATCACAAATGTACGTATGTGTATGTACGTAAAATATTAGTATAAAAGTTTTTAGAGTTAGTTTCAATGTATATTTTCAAAGATTTTAATATTTCTATAATTGTTAATATGGTAATACAGAGTATGTAATAAAAAATATTAATAATTAAAATCATACAATAAAAATAGTGACTAGTTAAATTAAAATAAAGTGACAAAATTCGAGTGTTAGTTTCTCGAGTCTACTTTTTCTCGACTTCTATAATTTAATTGTATTACGACCCCTTTTTCTTTAATAAAAAATGTGGATAACCCCTTGCATCGATATTGCAATTAAGTCCATTTTTTCCCTCTCAAAAAGTGGACTTAATAAAAAGCATTGAAGTAGTTGTAACTATTGGTGAAGCAGCCTTGCATATGTCAACCATGGAATCCATATTTTAGGCCTTCTTTGTTGTATTATGAACGTCAAAACTTACCACAAAAAGGAAGTTAGAAGCATAGATTTGTACGTGCATGTAAAAAGTCTTGGGAGACTTGTGAACTACCCTTGAGAAACATGTGACTTTTTTACATTTTTTTTCTTTGATAATTGATTGATAAATGCATCAAAATTATTTATATTGTGATTGTCAACTGAAATTAATTATTGTGGATAATAAATCTCCAGCATTTTATGAGTGGAACTTGAAAAAGACAATGTGAATCAATCTTTTTAATTGTTATTTTCTTCACTTGTCAAATTGTTGCTTCCTTTTTTCTTGCTTTTCTTTCAATTTTTTCAAACAGTTCATGGATCCATTTATTGAAGCACAATTGAGACTATACTAGGACCATTTAAAGAAACTTGAAATTAAGTCAGATCCACACTATTTTTTTTTATTTTTTCTAAGGGTCCTCTCTATTAAGGACGGATCTAGGAAAATAATATGAAGCGGGCCGGATCTCTAAAGCATATGCATAAGTTAAGTTTTAGATTTCTAGTAAGAAAGATTATAACGAGTACATATTTAAAAAAAAAACCTTAAACCAATAAAAAGAATATATATTAAAAAAAATAATTAAAAAAAAGAAAGAAAGCCTTGATCAATGGAATAGCAATACTCAGTATAAAAAAAATATTTTAAAAAAAAATCTAGAAGTTGTGGGCGGTAGGTTTCGATCTCTAAACCCAAACATTAAGTAGTCAATGATGCAACCAACTTAGCTACATTATCTTCCACCAATATAGCTACTTAATTTTATTATACGTTTTCATCATGGGGCTGGCCACCCCGGCCCCTGGATCCGTCTTTGCATTCTATATGAGTTTGGTGTAAATCCTCTATTTTGGAGGATGTTGTTGATGAATTAAAAACTTAAATTGAGAGTGAGAAAGAATTTAAGTGGTTAAAACTTCCCTTTCGATTCTAAAAGATCTTGAGATTGATATTCATCATCTTTCTTATTTGAAAAGAATTTGTGTAAAAGTTAAACCTTGGTTTTTGGAAAAGTTGTCCATTGGCTAATCTCTTATACTTTCCTTTGCACACTTGCACTTCTGTTCCCTCTTCCTGGTTTACAATTAGTTGTTACATTGTTTCAACATCTCAAAGTTAATGATGGCTTATGAAGCACTATTAATACCCTTCATATTATTCTGGATTTTTCTTCTAATGATGGCTATATATGTGCCTAGGATTTAAAAAATAAATATTTCCTCCGTTTCTTTATATGTAGTTGCAACACTTCTCTAAAATGAAAATGTCACAATAGTTGCATATTTATTTAAAACTCATGACCCACTTGATTATACTATCCTAAGTTCCTAACAAACTGTTAACCCTATTTTAAGTGTATTATATCATATGAGGTCAAATACCGTGATAAATTATGTGTTGCAACTATAAAAAAATGGAGGAAGTACTACGTAAATTGAAATGGAGGGTAGAAGTATAATTTGATATTGCATAATTTTGGGCTTTATCATCGTGCCAGACTCCCAGTGACTCAGGAGATTGCGGTTGAAACTTAAAATGAAGATTACTTTAATTGGGGCTTGGTTCCTTGGTAAACTGGATTCAAGCCGCATGAATGATATGGGCTTTGGCCTTTAAAAAAGTTTCATGGCCTATTAGTATGGACTAACCCTCCATGGTAAACTGGATTCACTTATGCAACGAACCTTTTTTTTTTTAATGTTTAATATAATAGGAGAATATAAATTAATGTTCAAGCGTATAATCTTAAGAAATACATAGTCTAAATTTGTGGAGTACTAACTTTAACGAATATAAAATGTGTGCATGATTTTGTTATGTACCAAGGCAGATCTAAAAATATTGGAGTCGGTATACATCTCTATTATCTCTCGCTCAAAATAAATCACTATGCAGCAACAATACTATACAAAGTATAAGTAAAGTCAAATATTTTCACTGGGCCGGGCCCATATTGGCCCTGGTGGAAGGCCCCTATGTTGTTAACTTGTTATAGGCTAGAATGGAAACAATCTATAAAGCATCGATATAAATCAGATAACCTTACTTGGGGGTTGGAACACAGTAGCTAACCACAGTAGCTAGTTGGATGCTTGGAGTTTGATCCTACTTTGATGGAAAGGTGAAGAATTTTGTACTCCTCAGATCCGTCCGAATTTTATGCCTCTTTGTTAAAATGTGATTATATTTTACAGTAATTTTTATTAGTAGTATCAGTGCTATGTACTCTCCTTGGCCTAAGTTAAGTGATTTATTTCATAAGTATTAAAGTATAACGTGGAGTATATAATCATAAACCATTATTATCTTAGAAAATTTGACTATTTAGTATGATTGTATACCAAGCTAAGCTTGAAAAGGAGAACACATTCCAACCATGAGGTATTGGAGGTTCAATCCCTAGTAGTGGCGATTTGGGGATGAGATTCCCTTACCTATTCTCACTTTTCCAAATTGTCTAGTCCGCTAATCCAGGCCGGATTAATCCGTGAAGGGTTTTGGCCTAATAAGGCCCTTCATCTTACCTACCAAAAAAAAAATAGTATAATTGTATGAAGTACATACTTAATACATTGTACTCACATCTTATCAACAATATGTGAATACATGTGTTGCACTGTTGCTTGTAGAATTTCAGGTTGAAAATGAGCCTCAAAGCAATTTAATGTTGCAATACACAAGTTTAGGAAGGAAAAAAAAAAAAAAGGGGGTGGAATGGAGGAAGAGGAACAAGTTTGTAATTGTATGTAATAAGGAAAAAAACCCATTGAGTTGCTTTTTTAAATGTGAAAATTTCAATTTATATATTGATTTTTGCTTACCTTTTTATTAATTAGTTATATAATTTTCAAAAAATCTACTCGTATTATCTTTGAAAGAAAGGGACTAATAGTTGGGATAACAATCGAAAAGGTGGGGATCGCAAGGAGAAGTAGAATACCACTTACTTTATACCATTTTGCCTTTTATTATGTCAAGATCGACATTACTAATCTTGCTATAGTCATAGTCACTTATCAACTCTTCAACTTCAGATATAAGATACTTAATTCTCAACTTCACGATTTTGCCATTATAGTTGTTCATGATAGATTTTCTTTATTTTGTGTACCAAGCAACAATCCACACCTCATTTTCAAGATGTAGAAATAATAAATCCATTAGACTCAAGGTGAATTTCGTATGGGTTTCTACTTTATAGAATAGGCTATGGTTTTAATATCATACATATAGTGTTTATAGACTTACTATACATAAATGATCTGAATATCTAATACGACTACTGACGTTTTAAGCTAAAAAGGTGTAGCATATTAGCATGCAACTGCAATTTATTCACATAGTATAGGCTCATTTGTTTAGCTCGTCGTCGTTGCTACGACTGTACGAATATTTTCACCCTTGAAAACTGTAAGGCAAGAAGGCAACTCGAGCAGTACCAAAAGGTAGAAACCAGTTAATTAGCATCCCTAAATAAATTCGCCTATAGATCTTCTGATCAGATTTGCTTTTTAACTTTTGTGCTTGCATCACCATCATTGTTTCGATTTTAGTTCCCTCTTAACCAAACCAAAACTAGATCCTTAGATTCTCTAAAGTACTAACGAGTTGTTTGGTTCATACGAGAATTGAGTCTCTACGTAAATTATGGAATTTCCCTCATTAAATTACGAGGGAGTCTCAATTCATTTTTATGATAAACAAAAAACATTTATCTAGTGACATTTTTGTAAATAAATCAACATAAAATGTCAGTGAGCATGACATTTTCATAAATAAATCAATATCAATGGACCCACATTTAATAAAAAATTGTTGATTTTACAAAAATACCACTAGATAAACGTTTTTTTGTTTATCATGAAGATAAACTTTTACTTTCTCTTAAATTACAATCAATTGGTTTTGTTTAAGGGTAATGAGTAATGATATATACAAATCTTAAAAAAAAAAAAAAAAAAAAGAGTAATTATATATACGAAATGTCGAAATTTAGGGTGATGAAATGTATCTACAACGTGTTGCCTTTTGGACACATAGATGAACAAGTCTGATTTGTTACTTTCTCATACATACTACTTGTGAAATTCTAAACCAAAAACAAGAAATTGGCAGCAAGCCCAAATGCCCAATTATGAATTCACTTAGGACTTATCAGAACTTCTTGTAATTATAAATGTTAATAAAACTTGGCTATCAATCCCGAATTACAAATCCAATAGTTATTTTCAATAGACTGAGTTAACTTCTATAACGTGACGAGTCATAAGTTGAAGTATGTCTTATAACTCGTATAGTCATATGATTATATAGTTCAAGCCTCATGGTCGGATCACAAGCCTTAAGTCTTTTCAATTAGACCAAGACCCAGTAAGTCATTGATAACTACATTAAGACCATGTTCTTTTGAATTGAATTAAAGTGAAAAAATGAACCAAATTGGATTGATATGAACTAAAATCAAGTCCTGCCCTAAAAAAAACACGACCTAACTATGATTTGATTAATCTTAGTCCATAATAAGTATGACTGTATGAGTAATCATCTAATCGGGTATGGAGTAATATAAAGTGTTCAAGATTGAATGTGAGTACAAAAATTTACGTAAATTAAATTGGCATAGCGTATAGATGTTAATGATGATACGTTCCCCCTAATAATAATAAAAAAGGCAAACACCCAAAAGTTCAAAAGACAGAGGTACTCTGTTTTATTTCATCATCTTTCCCTCTAAAAAACCCAGTACCTAAAACCCTGGTACCACATTTCAAAACCTCCTGAAAACCCCAAAAATCCAAAATTTTACTCATCTTTCTCATTCACATGAGCTCAAGGATTTTGTCTCTAAATGGGTCTATAAAGTATCTTACTTTTTTCCCTTTTTATAATTCACAAACCCAAAAAAAAAAAAAAAAAAAAAAAAAAAAGAAAAATCCTCTGCCATGAACAGAAGACTTTGATCAGAAAGTGAAAGAATCCAGCTATAAATTTTGATCATCATTATAATTGCAGTGACCCAGATAATTTAGACTCATGATCAGGATAAAAAGAGAAATCAATCCCAAAAAAAAAAAAAAAAAAATAAAAAAAAAAAAAAATGGGACCCTCTTTAACCTGCAAAAGAAATGAGTGGAACTGCACCAAGTAATGTAATTTCTCTCTCCAAATTCTCTGATTTTTTAGATTTTTTGGTTGTTGTTTTTTGCAATTGTGTTACGTGTGTGGTTGTTCTTCTTTTCTTTATCCTGAATTATGGGTCCATTTACCCTTTAAATTAATTTTTTTCATGGAAATTTTTTGACACTATATATGCAATATTCCTTCTTTTAATTTGGTTCTCTGAAATGGGTTTCCTTTATTTTGGACTTACACTTGTGTTTTTTTTTTTTTTTTTTTTACTTTGAATAGTGTACTACAGTAGTAATTTCTGTGAAAAATTATTTGGATTTTTGCTTTTTAATTCAGTTGGGTTGTTTGATTCTTCAAAGTCAAGTGGAAAAGGAAAAAAAAAAAAAAAACCCATTTCCTGTTTCATTTTTCATTTTACTATTCCCTTCCCTCAGTTCGAATTCAGGTTCAAAACTACTTTGTATTCCACCGCTTACTAAACTCTGACTAATCTAAATTCGAGTCGAAAGTATTGTCAAAGGGAGAAATCCCATTCCCATTCCTTTTTTCATTTTACTATTTATAAAATACTTGTTTTTAATTAGGGCAATAAGCCGCTAAGATACCTAATAATCCGAAACTTATTAGATTCTGACTAATCCGACCTAGAGTTGAGGCCCTTAGGGTATTGTAATATTGTCAAAAGGGGAACTATTGCACAAGTGGCACTTTCCTTTAGAATTATTAAAAATTTATAATTGTAGCACTGTTGGAGGGAAAAGAAGCAACCAATGATTTCTTGTTTTGGGTAGTCCTTAGGAAACACATTTGGGAAGGGCTATAATAATTTTTCTATCCAATATAAAAAGGAACTCTCAACACTCATTTCAAATCCTTCACTTCATTTTCTGAGGTTTTTTTAGATTTGGTTGTAAAATCAATCAAGTCTTACTTACATTTGGGTCATTTGGTGGCTTGAATATTCTTGATCCTCTTCATTGTTTTGTTTACTTTTGGCATAGTTTTTGAGTGGCAAAAGTTGAGATGTTTTTTAATTGCTCTTAAGAAGAACTATAAAGAAAGGTTAGTTCTTTTTGTATATGATTTTCTTTTACTTTAGTGTTCATGATTTGATGCCAACTTTATTTTAAGTAATACTTACCCTGTATATAATATGAGCTAAACTTTTATCTTATGACATTTGTAACTTGAACTTTCTTAAAATGCCTGTTGCTTTTAAAAATTCTCTGTTTCAGATGTTTATTTTTTGTAATTCTTGTTATCTTGCCTTTTAGTGGCACATTTAGTAGCTTGACTTGATCCTGTGTAAAAGATGCATATTAATTCATTCTAAGAAAATACGTTGCCTTCAATTTTTGACGGTTTTACTGTTGCCTTACAAACTTGAGGATAACTGTATTTTACTAAAAATTAGAGTGATATACTTGTAATTTTTTATTGACATGTTAGAAATTTAGAATGAGTGTTTCATATGAATCCATCATATTTCACTTACTAGAACCTATGCACATTTGATGCTCTTGTTGTTGTTGAATTGTTATTATATGTTCATTGGCTGTCCCACTTCGAATGGATTCGAGCCTCGCATACATCTTCTTTCAATTGATGCAAATTTTGGGTGGTTATGGGGTTTAGAAGTCTGCTTATATATTTTAGTGTTACAATTTAGATATGGTAGATAAGCCAACTCTGTAAAAAAAAGTTTTAAGTGTTGTGTTTTCGTCTTTGTATTGTTTGCTTGATAGAATGCTCTAGAGATGAAAGGGAAAAAAAAAGAGAATAATTTAACCTTAGGAATGAAGGAAAATAATGAAAATTTCTTATGCATTGCTACTATTGTGTGATATGTTTACCCTTATCCTTAGAGATTGTTATGTTTACCCTTATCCTTAGAGATTATGTCAATGAGGGGGAGGATGATTGTGAAATTGATTGCTATAGACTTTACACTTGAATTCCCAAGCTTTAGTACTTGTTCCATTCTTTTGTAGTTGATTGGTATAGGGATCCTTTTAATCCTAATCCTACTCGTTGTTTCCTTCGTAATGAGCAAACATGGTATTTAAAACTTCCAACATTCTATTGTCATTCCCACTTATTGTACAAACACCCCATAATGCATTGTTTAGATTGAAGGAAATGGAGGGAAAGAGAGGGAAGGGAAATGGAGGGATGAAAATTTTTTCATTTGAATAGCAAATGAGGAAAGAAGGGAATTGGAGGGGAGAAAAATAGAGGGATTAAAATGTAAGAACTTGATCTCTCCAACAATGGAGAGATTTGGAAGGAAAACTCATCATTCTTTCCTTTCCCACCCCTTCCGTTGCCTCCCCTTTCTCTATCCAAACACTGTACAACTATGGTTATGCTAACCTTGGAGGTGTTTTTGTAACTTCGTTTTATTTTGTGAGGATCTCCGAGAGACCGAGTTGTGGAAATTCTTTCAAAGACGGTTGTGTTCCTCTTTATTCATGTTAGGTACATAATTAGGAAAGGGAGGAAATTTACTTGGAGATGTCATGTAGTGTTGCTTTGAGGCTTTGAGGTGAATAGCGAACAAGTTCTTCTGAAGGCTTGATTTGCCAATTGCCAAACTAGCTGTGTGCAAAATGGTTGTAGTGCTACCATCTTAGAAATACTACAACTAAATCAAGCATAGTCTTGTTTGTGTCCTGCTCCAGCATATTAAGTGACTCAAGAAGACTGAGTTGTCAATGACAATTGGGAGTTATATGTTGTTGTCTCTCATAGCTAATCTGTTATTGTTTGGGGGATACCTCTTATTTATAGATATGCTTGTGTAATGAATACAAAATCAACTAATGAATCTACATGTTGATTTCTGTAATGAATACATATTCAACATACCTCGTGTTCATAGATGTAGTTGTGCTATCTTATGCGTTATTCAATATGGTGTTGAATCAATTTACATTGAACTCATGTTTCATATTCCTAAAAAATCGTAGCTAGACAGTTACAATGGCTGCGTTGCCTGCTAATGGTGATGTTTCCCAAGTTCCATTCTTCAGGGCTCGTATAAAGCCGCAATTGTACTATCATGATAGTGTATGAAATGGTCTTATTTTCAGGTAAATTAATGAAATTTGCAAGTCTATAATCTCTGAAGATGATTTATGATTGACCTGAGCTGATACCGGCACACAGGTTTACCAAACATGGGTGGTGAACCATGACGCTGTCTATCTGGTGACGTGAATGCCTAATTTGTTTGTTGCAATAATCTGAAAGATTTACTGGTTGAAGATCATGGAGAGTGAACCACATATGCAGTTAGATCTTCCCAGCTGTATACCTTCAGTCATTGATGGAATGCCTCAATCATTGTCAGAGTCGCATTTTCGAACTGCTTTCTTTCAACTGCACACCCAGAATGATGGCATGCTTGGACTTCCATCTTTGCAAGGGCAATCCTTTAAAGATATGCATGCTGATAAAACTGTCAGCTATGATGGATTAATAAACCGAGGTAACTTCAATTATGAAGATCGTTGCTTGGGAGACGCCTCGTTTACTTCTGGTTCATTACCCAACATTATAGCCACCAGAAATGGACTCAACAATGACGTGAACAATTCAATAATTTCTCTTGAACAAGAGGTTTCATATGAATCTCTAAGAGCAATGTTCTCAGGTGGCTGCTCCTATGCCTCAAGTTCCTCCATCCCGAATAACAGTGGCTATGATGGTTTGTTTGGTGATGTAAATGACAAATGGGACCATAACAGATTTCTGATGCAGCAAGAAATGCACTGGAGACCATCAACTTCTGAACTGGAACCGATACGATTCAATGGAAGTCTAGTTGCCAATAATGAGTGGGTAATGCCAAGCTCCACACATGTTTGCACAAGTCATCCTTATGGAACCTCTAGATCTCATAATGAGCTCTCTCTGAGTCTTGCTACTTGTGGGCCGTCTCTTCCCTCGGACTTGAGTTGCTCTGATGCTATTAACAGTTCTCAGTCTCAAACTAGGTTAGGTTCTGAATGCAAATCTCATCGCAGCAAGGAGCTCTCCCTTGGAAGCACTTCTAAAAATAGGCCTGTCCAGTTCCCACCAGTAACATCTGGCTCGAGATATGTTTCTGTGCTGCAGCAAATTCTTTCAGAAGTCTCAAGTTATTCACTTGACAATTTAGACAAGACCAGTTATAAAGGCGATAAAAGTTTAGTGAACTCTAGTTCAAATCATCCTTTCTCTTCAAACAACTTCATTGATCCGGGGGCTTCATTCAAGAATACCAACGAGTTTCATGACAATGCTGGATTATTTGAAGTTCCAGCCGGAAGTTCAAAGAGGTCACAGATGTTAGCTCTGCTACAAATGGTAGGCCGTCAACACTGCCTATATATAATCATTACCTTATGCTTCTCTGTGCTTTCTTGGCTTGGCGCCTTGGCCAACATGTCTAATTTTTCACATTTGTATCTTGCAGGTGGATGATCGGTATAACCGCTGCTTAGATGAGATACACATGGTAATATCTGCATTCCATGCTGCAACTGAACTGGACCCTCAATTACATTCTTGTTTTGCCCTTCAAACAATCTCATTCTTCTACAAAAATCTGAGAGAGAGAATTAGCAATCAAATTCTAGCAATGGGAATGGAAAATGGAAGTGCACGAGAAAGTGGGATAACCATTGACAAATCTTTCATTCATAAGCAGTGGGCGATCCAGCAATTGAAGAGAAAAGATCAACTGTGGAGACCTCAGAGAGGCTTGCCAGAGAGATCTGTTTCAGTATTACGGGCCTGGATGTTTGACAACTTTTTACACCCGTGAGTGTTTTTTAACTTCTATATGTTCATGGATTGAAATTGGCCTGTTTTCCTCTTGAGTACACATTATTTATGGTTTGGTTTCAGCAGTGACAGAATTAGGAACTATTTCTTGGAGTTATCTACTAGAGTTCAATTATAGCTTAACACTGCATCACTTCTCCGATTGATTGAATTTATTTTTTAAACCTTCTGCTTATCAATTTTCACAGCTAGCAGCTTTGAAGGCACTACCAATATGAGATAATTTAGAGTGAATAAAGTGTACTATTACTCGTAGAACATCTCAATTTTTGAGTAGAAAAGTCCATTTCAAGTGTCAAAGGTTACCTTTTTGTAACATCTGAGCATAGCTAGGAAAACCGAAAACTTTGATGCCTCTGAAATCACCTTATTCCGAGTGTGAATAACACCATTCCAGATTCATAGTAGTCCATATCAAACATCCTGTGAGGAAAACATATTAGATTCTTACTGATCAAATTTCTCGAAAAAGTGTTTCTTGTTTATTATAGTAGTAATTGACTATTCTGATTGTTCAATCACACCTTCAAGAAGAAGTATTCTTTTGTCATGCCTTCCTGATTCCTGGTGAACTGAATTGGAAGAAACGGACAAACAGTGAAGGGTTCTGATAATGAGATATCGTTCTCAGGATTAAACCTACTTCTTATGCCCTATCAATACAAATTATAATGTCTTGCGTTTTCTTTAGTTCGTTAATATTTTCATGACAATCTTGCTAATGATAATCTTTCCCATGCAATATCTGAAGTTCAACTGCAGATGCTGCATGTTTTGGTTCGACAATTTTACTTTGAAACTGATCTTCTGTTATAAGTCATTTCGTATGCATAACCATATTGATTTGGCTTAGTTATGCTTAAATTTGTTGACCTCGATTGTAGTATGGTTCTAAACATTCTGAGTAGGGAAAATAAAAGTCTGAATTCTGATGGTTTTCAGGTATCCTAAAGATGCAGAGAAGCACTTGCTTGCTATCAAAAGTGGATTAACAAGAAGCCAGGTATAATAATATTCTTCTTATAATCTCGAGTGCAAAGTTTTAGCACGCATCTGAAACGCACAACTGATGCAAATATCATGCTCTACATTTTCATTGTTACTTCAGTATGTAATAACATAGTTTATATGTGATCATAACAGGTTTCGAATTGGTTCATCAATGCCCGTGTTCGTCTCTGGAAGCCTCTTGTTGAAGATATGTGTGCAGAAATAAAAAAGAAAAAGGCAAGTCAACAAAACGATGAAGGAACCAGCAATAGTAGTAACAATAGCAGAAGCCAATTAAGGATCTACGACTACGATCAGAGATTCAGCAATTAAAAAAGGCAGTGCAGTTACTGGTAGGCTTAGCTACTTGGTAAGGTGAATATGAATATAAATTACATATGTTTATATAGTAAGTATATAGTATTAGCTATTGCGTAGAAGATTAATGCAATTGTACATAAATGCTTATTTGAGGACTTCACTACTTCCTGGGTTGCTACAATTTTGCCAGCTTTCTTTGGCTGTGGGTTGTCTTGATTAGCATTTGGGTTAGAATCTGAGAATCACATTTTGGTAATTTTGTAATGGAATTTTAAATTACGTGGTGGTTATAAAAATCTTTCGAATTTGATGATTAAAAGGATGTTTGCAAATTCTATTATACACTCGTGTATACCTATAGAAAGACGTATAACGAATTAACAAGTCATTAAATATTAAATTTGGTACATGTATAACTATATACACAATCAATTAAAGAATATCCTAAAAATATCTTTTAAAGTATTCTATTGCCAACAAGCTGCCAATAGCTTATCACGTCATATTCACATAATTGCGGAATTCCAAATTTTGGATTTACATGACCATTATATGCTTAAAGAAGTGACAAACAATGCTAATAATTTGCAAAAAGGGTGGGAATTTTATTCTATTGTTTCTGAGTCATCAACAGCATATTACAATAAGATCTTATTTTCTTAACTAGTGGGCATTTTTCTTTGCTTTTGATGGAATTTATGCTTCCCAACATGAAGAATCAAGGATACTTGTTGGAATATTCTTACATTCTTCCTAATAAGGTTTTAAGTCCTAATTCTGGCCTTCGGGATTCGGCATTGTGGAATTTCCGAAATTTAAGATGTGTTCTCATTATTTTAATGGTTTTTTTTTTTTTTTTTTTTTTTTTTTTTGCTTAAACTCATAATTTTAATTGTTACGCAGAGCTTATCTGTACGTCCCAATTGCATACAATTAATGAATTAAGTATGTTCGAAACGTTATTGTACATAGCGTCACATTAACAATTTGAATCTTTCTCGACTTGTTGAAATTAAATTATTCTCTAAAACCTTATCTCAAAATATATGTTTTTTTTTTTTTTGGAGCAATCAAACTACTTTCTCCGTTTTTTAAATATGGAAATTGTTCCGTGTATCTTTGAGGTTTTAAAAAATGCACCGTGTAACTCGGAGGTTTGTAAAAAAAATGCACCAAATACCCCTAAACTCATAACAAATGTTAATTTTGTTGGATTGAGACCCCCTAAGCATCAAATTTTAGTAAATTATTACAGTGTAATGCTACTATAATGCTAAACCATTTAATTATTAAGTAAACTTAATTAGTAAATCAAATTCTAACGCCCAAAAGTTTAGGATTTAGAATGATCGAAGGAGTTCAATTTTTGATGTAATTTATGCTTTTAGGTGGTTTTACTGCATAAATATAAATTACTTAAAGGGAATCAGTGTGTGGGTATGATTTTAGTTTGATAAGTCAATGATATGTGCCCTTGTTAGATGATCAAGGTATTTGGTGCATTTTTCTAACAAACTTTAGGGATGTACGGTGCATTTAAAACTTTTCAGGGGTATATGGTGTATTTTTTAAAACCACTAGGATACACAGAGCAATCTTTTTAAATATTACACCACTTGCCTTTTAAGAAAGTTTTACAAATATTGCACCATATCCGTTTTAGAAAAACAAATAGTTGTATTCAAACTACAAATACCCTACATACCCTTACTTTTTAATATTTGATTCTACGGTTTATGTCTACAATCACATGGACAATTTTATACTTTTACCTTTAACACTCCTCTTTTTTTCCACTACCAAAAAAATTTGTACCAAATTCTTATGGTGCAATATTAAAAGAACGGAAGAAGTATATGACTTTGATCCTTGATAAAAGCTAGAATACATCTTATGAGGTTATCACTTAATTAGAATATATCCTTGTTTAGCCACCCATATTGTTCTGGATCAAATTTTTAATTATTTTTTATCTAATGAATATTGAATGATAAAATTATATAAAATGTTACCAATTTTCTTATTTTCATCTAATTTTTTAGATTATTAGTTTCTGTCTATGTTACTTGGGAGATATACATTCTAATATAACACTATACACGGAACTTTGGGAAATTAAAATGGTCAAAATTTAACTTTATTAAAAGATTATCGAATTGAAGTCAGTTCTATACTCCGTCCTTAGTAGTAATCTTTTCGTTCCATGTTAAGTATGTTTGAGATCATATCGAATGTATCATCATATTCATCAAGTTACATCTGTTAAGTTGTTAGGTACCCTAACGTTTGCTACTGTAGCAAAGGAAAAGGATGAATATGTGGAAAGAATGCATGATGTAATTGCTCCGTGCAAGAAAACAGGGGATGATTTAGAGGTTTATAGGTGGCTCAATAAGAATAGAGACTCTGAGAGCATGATTACAAGCAGTTACAAGTAATTTTGTATGTTATAAATTAGACGTTTTAAATATCAATTTTCAGTTGAGAATCCAAAAAAAAAAACGACATATCAGTTGAGATAATGATTAACTATTAGTAATATTCAATCGGTTTCAAAAAAAAAAAAAAAAAAAAAAAAAAAAAAAAAAAAAAAAGAGTAATATTCAATCTCACAAAAGTATGAAGAAAAACCTAATTAATAATGTACAAGCCATTTTTGTCATTCATGTTCATGTAGAGTACTTGTATAGTTGTATGTTATAACTCTCTTCTAAAGTCTAAACCATTAAAACTAGATGGCCGAGTACCAATACACACATCTTGCGGTAGATATTAATTATCAAGTAATTGATGTGTGTTTTTGGGACGAAGTATTACTCATATTATATCAAGGCCGAACACTTGCTTATATTATGAAATCTGATTTTACGGCCAAGCTTTATTTACCGGTTCCTTGCGATGTTTTTAGATGTGTACTTTTGGGGATTGGAGAGATGTATATGGTGGTGATTGATGGTCATTTGCATGTAGTCTCTCGAACGAAGCGGGGAACGGGTTCGAGCTATTTTAACTGGATTGCTATTCGTCGCTCCCTTTTTACAGAGTGTCGCTCCCATATTTGTGTGAAATGACCATTTTGCCCTTTGCTTATTTTGTGCTATTTAAGGGTCTACCGGCTTGTCATAACGAATCACGATCATTTTGAAAACATTATCGAGCAGTTTCACTCATAGTTTCCTTTAAAAAATCCCGAGCCTCAAAATTCCCGAGCGAGGCCAAGACAACCATTTTTTTTGTTAAATGACCAATTTGCCCTTTGCTTATTTTGTGCTATTTAAGGGTCCACCGGCTTGTCATAACGAATCACGATCATTTTGAAAACATTATCGAGCAGTTTCATTCATTGTTTCCCTTAAAAATTCCCGAGCCAGGCCAAGACAAATCGTTTTTTTTTTCACAAAATTTTTCAAAAGATGAAGCCACGGGCTTAAGATGTGGAACGACGACAACAACCGCACACCGGAGGCATCGTTGGAAGATTCTGTAAGTTCGTGAATTTTTTTTTTTCTGTTATAAGGACATCCGCCCAAAACATCCGGATCATCCGTGGAGGATCCGCCTGAGAAATTCGGATCCCTCATGGAAGATCTGAAAATTCCAGGCGATCCCCCATGAGCTTGGCCTTTGTGCGGCATTGAGAGAAGTGTTTCCCGAGATGTCGCATTTGCTTTGTCGATGGCACATTAACAAAGATGTGGAGGCTCGGGTCACCAATATGTTCAAAAACAAGAAGATAGGGGGGCAATTCAAAAACGGTGTTTGGAAACGTATCATGGATGCTGCGACCGATGCGCATTATAACTCTGTTGTATATAGACTGAAAACTCGGTGGGCAAGTTTCCCGGCAGTGATTAGTTATGTTGAGAGAACTTGGCTTTGTCATAAGACCAAATTTGTGACTTTTTGGACGAACCAGGTTCTGCACTTAGGTAACACGAGTACTTGCAGAGTTGAGAGTCAACATTCGGCCGTGAAGATGTGGTTTGAATCTTCGACAGGTATGTTGTTGGAATTTTGTAGTTGGTGTATATACTTTGTTTTAGTTCCATTTTTTTGTAAATACCAACGGGTTTTTTATAATTAACTTCAATGGCAGGTTCTTTGGATACCGTATGGGCCCGAGTACATTGTCATATTGGCAACCAGATCATTGCCATTCGTAATTCATTGGAGGCGTCAAGGTCGAAGATCGGTGAGAAGTACAGACAGTTGCCATTGTCCTTTATTAATGGCAAGGTGTCTCAGCATTGTCTGAAAGTACTAGATGACGAGACGAGAAGGATGAGGGAGCTGAGTTACCAGGTGCATGAGCGTTGTGGATGTGTAATGCGTGTGACCCACGGTTTGCCTTGCGCTTGCCAGATACATGACTCGCTGGTTACGCAAACAGGCTTGTATACAAGGAAAATTCATCCGTTCTGGAAGACCTTGGTTATCGGCGATGGTGTTAATGTACTGGAGTTCGTTAACGACTCTAACGAGGAAGCTGCACATTTCCGTTCCCTGGTTGATGAGGTCGGTGGTAGTGATCCTGCTGTACTTCGAAATGTATTTCGCATCATTGAGGAGGAGTTGCATCCGGATAATTCAAACCTTGAAGAACCACAAGTAAATCACAACGTTCGAGGTCGCCGAAGGAACAACGATACTAGACGAAATCTCAGTTACTTCGAACATGTGGACCGTCAAAACACTGAACGTGGTGCGCAACAAACAGGTACGGCTTGCTATTAATTTTGCGATTTACATGTATTTCAATTCCTAGCGTACTCATAACGAAAACATAAATTGTGTAGGGGCAGAAGATCAAGGTGACATCCGCCAATGCCGGTATTTGCACTTGCTCCCGGGACTGATGTTGCCTTACATCACGGCATGGAAGGATGTCATTGGCGATGGTAACTGTGGATTTTGTTGTGTGGCCGACTTCTTCCTCGGAGATCAAGCGAACTGGTTTGATGCTCGGGAAATACTAGCGAATGAGGTCGCCGCTCACCCCTTCTTGTACGAAAGGATATACGGGATAGGAAGGGTGTGGCTGAATGTGGAACGCATTCGATAGGATGGTGGGGTTGTTGATTCACGGCACTGGATGGTTGTTATTCAAGATTTATTTCCTATTGCTACTTGGTTCAACGCAATGGTTATTATTCTTGGTGTAGGTAACGTACCGACCTGCTATTACCCTTGCCTCACGATCTTACCGTTGCCGGCACGAAACGGGGTCAGAGCACCAGCACGGGAATTTGTAATCGCTATAATCGGGGAGTCACATTTCATCTGCATTGATCTAGTCGAAAATCCTCTTCCCCC